ATTGTCAACATTTGTCCCAGCATTTATTTATGACTCAGTTGATTGAATTTCCTTCGAGACAATTGTTTTTTTGTTTTGTTTTTTTGTTGTTTCTATTTTATTTTTTATATTTTTTTTTGGGGGTGGGGATGATGTATTAGCTTTGTGGCTCATAAGAACTTTGGTGAGTTCTGCTTTTCTGCTTCTTTTCAGTGTTACTATAATCCTAATCCTCTTCTTGGCTAAATGTGGCCATGGTCATGCGGACCAGTTGTAAACAAGAACCCAACAATGACAACATGGTGGATGGAAGAAATATAGTAGTTGTCTTGGTGACTTGCTGTAACAACCAGCTACCATCTGCTGCCTAAAGAGAGAGAGGAGGAGAGAGAAGGAGAAAGAAGAAGAGAGGAGAGAGGAGAGGTAGGAAGGGAGAGAGAGAGAGAGAGAGAGATGGAGTATTCTAAGGGTATTCTCTCAATTCTGTTGTCCACAATCAGGATGAATATGTTGAAGGTCCAGAAAATTTCTCAATGTCTTTGGTAAAGGAAGATGTAACAGGTTTTGGTATAGTTGATTCATTTGCCACTGGGCTCTCCTCCTTAGGCGTTGTAGAATTGTGCTTTTCTGCTTCAGATGTTTTGCTGCTCCGCATAAGGAACTAGAGATTGTCAGAGATGAAAGAAGAAAATGTTGATGGAAGATCTTGAGCGGTACAGCACAGGAAACTTTTCCTGGTACCTTCTCCCAAATTATTGACAAACCTATTTGTTTGCCCACCATCTGATTTTGTGGGTGGGTTCGTTGGTGAGTGCTCTGGTGTGGTTTGCTCCTTCTTTCTTATCAAACATCTATCGTCCTTACATCTCTCCTCTTTCTTTTTTGTGTTTGTTACTTCTAATCTTAGGCACTTTTGATATTCATCTTTCGCTGGCGAAGATGACCTTGACTTCGTATGACTGGAGGTACTCTCCCTCCCTGTCCCTTCGGCACTTATTTGAGCTGATTGTGTTGCTAGTGCCGTAAAACTCTTACTAAAACTAAACTATTTTATAGATGATGCGTCACACTCAGGGTACTTCTCTTCCTTCCTCAGCAAGACGTTCCTGTTCAAGTGTATCTGGTTGCCCTTGCAGTGGGAGACTTTGTCTCTGCTGAGGTTGGGCCTCGCAGCAAAGTCTGGTCGGAAAGAAGCCTTGTGGTAAGTGAGCCTGCCCAGATTCACCTAGCTCAATCTCATTTTTTTCTTCTTCCCATGTCAGTCATTCATCCCAGAGTAGAGGGCTTTCACACTTTGTCTCTTCAAATAAATGCAAATAAACTTGACAGCTGTATGTGGTGTAGCTTTCAGGCTCCTTGTCTTCCACACACAAGAAGTGAATTTGGTTCTCATGGGGAGACATAGTAAAATCGGCTGGGGAGGGTTATCTTTTAATAATATACAAATTTCATTATCTGCATTAAAAAAATTGTTCATGTAGCCTAAATGTATAAGAAAAATTTGAGACTTCAAAATCTTTTTACTTTATTCATGTTAGCTATGTGTGTGTTAGTCTATATCTTTTTATTCCAAAAACTGATAAAACCATAATGCCTTTTTTCTGATGGTGACTACATAAGATACAATCATATAGTGTTTGGATTTCACCGTTTGTTCATCTTGTTTCAGGACAAGGCCCAAGCAGAATTCAACGGGGAAATTGAGAAGTTCCTTCAAGCGGGGGAGCAATTGTTTGGGAACTATGTTTGGACCCGCTATGACATCCTGATTATGCCACCATCGTTTCCTTTTGGGGGAATGGAAAATCCTTGCTTGACTTTTGTGACGCCCTGCATTGTTGTCGGGGATAAGTCGCTGATTGATGTTGTCATACATGAGATTGTGAGTAGTGGCTTTGTGATGCCTGTGATTAGCCTTTTTCTTGATCAGTGAGCCAAAAGTTTATTGTTTTGCCTCTACGTATCCTTCTCCATTTCAGCACAAGATATCTCTATTCGTTCAAGAGTGTAGAAACCTCGGTGACGGGTTGGTGAAATTACCCTCACTATAATCCTAATAAATGCACTAGTTTGTTTTGTTTTTAAAATTCACAAAAAGCTAGAAGAAACAAGGTTATTTCATTCAATGTAACATATGCCATGCCTTAAAAAATACAGTTTTGTGATCTTTCGAATACAAAAATAGTCAAGTTTTCTGTTAGTTCAGGCAAATGTGCTGAAAATGTTTAAAGTCACACATACGGTATGTTATCTTCTCCATCACTGTTTTCTTCAATTTGTCTCTCACTCTAAAAGTCACCATAGCCACTATCAAAATCTTTCACAACCACATCATGGGTTTCTGTGGCTAAGAACCAAATTTTATATGATGTTGGTTGTCAACCATGGGGAAGAGAAATCAGAGAAATTGAGCAATCGTTGGAAATATTCTTGGGTAAATGGTCGTTCGCAAAGTTTATATTTGTACTATTGAAGCAAAATCCACACATCCCTCATCCCCATCCCCACCCTCCCAGACTATGCTCAAACTTTGACATTTCATCGGATCAACTCATTCTCTACCCATTACCGATATATCGGCAGTGTGACCGCACCATTTTCGCCCATTACTGATACATCGGCACAGGCTATACTCAAACTTTATTTAGTTCGTAAATGCTTGATCCATAATTTTAAGTTTTGATATAAACAAATCTCAAAAGTAGAAACTTTCTGCAACAAAATATTGTGTCTATAACTATGTAAGTGGGTGGAAAGTTGAAATTGTTGAAGTATTTTGTGTGGTGTATTTGTGAAACCAAAACACGAAAGATGATCACACCCATTTCTAGTTCTAGGTATGTTTTCTGGGCCTGGTTGTAAACGACCCTATGGGCATATAACTCGTAAAAAAGACTAGGGAATTTTTCTTTAGCAACTTGAGGCCAGAGATGATATTGTCTTAGAATCCTTAGCTTTAGATTCTGATTTTGGCGATGATTGAATCGAGAGTGAGAAGCGTTAAAGACATAATTCGTAGATCTAAATCTACAGTGACAGCAAAGAGGATAGTTGAAGATAAGGAAATGAGTGAATATGCTTTGAAATGAAAGGGAACGAAAGCCAAGAGAAGTGAAAATTCAAGAGGATAATGACCTAGATCTAGGTCTAAATCTAAATCTAGACTTGGACAGGCAAGTGCAACTCGGGCAAATTCTGATTCACTACAACTTTTGGTATTGTCACAGTGATGTTACAAAAGTGATCATAAAAGCTGCTAGAATTTGCACAATTTCACACCTTTTTCTATGAACATTCAGGGAATTGAATGTAACATTTATTTTATGAGCGTAGGAATCTTTTTTTAAAATATGAATTTTATTATTTATATTCAAAGTCGGAAATTTAGTCTGTTTTTTTTATTAGCTCCCATGTGATGGACATGTTCCCTGACAAGCATCAATTACGTCCTTTGCCTAATCAAATATTTTTTTTACACATTTCAATGCTACGTTTTTTTACCTTTCAAAATATGTATGACACTACCTACTTATTATTTCCTTTTACTTATGAAAATCCTTCCCAAACATACACACCTATCATTCAGGATCGGATGCACAGAGAAAACCGGTGAAAGCTGGTATAAAAATGGGCAGAGAATGAGTTAAGAAATTCCTGTCTGAAGTGCAGTCAGGAGGTTGATCTTTTTCGGTCATATTATTATCATCAACACATTTATTTCCAATATGCTTGTGTTTCAGAGCCACAGCTGGTTCGGCAACCTTGTGAGCATCGCCAACTGGGGAGAGTTTTGGCTGAATGAGGTCAGTATTGGCAGCTACCCTAGTGTAGTGTGTTACGTAGTTTGTCTTTGTGTTTATTTTCTTATCCAATTAATGTAAAAAAGAGAAAGATTGAAAGAAAGAGTTCTCATACAATGAGGAACTTCTTACAAACTGTAGTATGTTCAATGACACTCTGATGTTATGAAATCTCATAACGCACAAACAAAAAATTTGTGACGTAATAACAGGTTTGCTCACTCAATTATGTTTCTGCTGGTTGCCAGCAGTTCTGTCTGTTCAGATGTACTTGGTTTGCTGCTTTTTATCCGAGCTGGGGAAACTGTTTGTTTTTCACACCTTCTGTTTTCACTTTCTTTCCATCACATTTCTTTGTGGAGGCTTCCTCATGCTTTACCCTGATATGCAGGGCCTACCAGTTACAGGTCAAGGTCCGGAGGGTGCCAGTTTTTCTCTGTTTAACTTTGTAGATTTCCTAGTAGACGAAAAGAGAAAGTTTTAATAGGAGTTCATGTTTGGGTTGATCCACCTCTCTCTCTCATACACACACACACACACACACACACACACACACACTCTCTCTCTCTCTCTCTCTCTCTCTCTCTCTCTCTCTCTCTGTAATTCTGGTTGTAGAAATCAGGGAAGAAAAAAGTGTTGTAAGGCGTGTTCATCCCTACCAAAGATTTGTGATACAATATTATGCATATATTATGTATCCATTTCGGTCTTTGAAAACTATTTTAGAAAGGAAAGTAAGCCTGTTTAATTATTTTTACGTAGTTCTAATTGGTGGCACTAGAAGTCCTTTTAAAGGTTTTAAAATGGCATGAAACGTATGGGAAATAAAAATAAACGATATTCTTTAGTTGATGCCTTGTCACATAATTGCTGTAACTTCCAGTTGTGTAGTGGAGAGAAATGTTACAGGTAAAAACGACATACAACAGAACAGCTGAGATATGCAACGTCGAGATTAACTTTGACTGAGTTATCAAGTCGCCAAGAAGCACAAAACTAAGAGAGCTCGAAACTGTGTCGAGGGAGACAGGAGAGGGAGAGAAAAAAAGGGGGGGAGAGAAGAGAGAAGAAAAGAGAGAGAGAGAGAGAGAGAGAGAGAGAGAGAGAGAGAGAGAGAGACAGACAGACAGACAGACAGACAG